ACCTTCCTGGGCCTCGCCTGAAGTGCCTCCCTCCAACACCAGCCCCATCACCTGGGCTGGGCTGTCCTTGTGTGCCCCAGCCCTGCTCCCTGTCACTCTCCTTCCCTGGGGGCCACTGCACCCGGGCACCGTCTGGCTCCTAGCTCCGCCTGGCCACATCCTTCATCAGCTCTAATGAGACTGTCTGGGTGGAGGGACCTGGGCGACACTTAATTATGCCTCTGACCGCTTCCCTGGGAGAGGAGGTGCCTGGGGGAGAAGGGCAGGGCTTCTGCCAGAACTCCCCCACCCTGGGGTCCTGGGGGGTTCCCGCGTTTCAGGACAGGAGCAGGGCCTGCCCAGGCCATGTTCCCTCCTCAGAGCAGCCCTGGCCGAGGAGAGCAAGGGGGTGAGGTAGCCAGGGGGCAGTGGGCACCCAAGGCCGTGAAGCTTTGGGGGGGTGGTGAGGGGCAGGGGCTGTGGATCAATGATGTTCTGATTCCAACTCTGGTTAATCGGTGACTTTGGAGATGCAGCCGTGCGGCCTGTCAAAGCACATTTCTTGATCTGGGAAACGGTGACAGGAGATTCTATCTCCCTGAGCAGCAGGACTGAAGGGAGAGCATGCCACCCAGGGGGTGGGGGTGGGGCTCTCCAGAAGGAAGGGGGAGGGGAGCTAAGTGGGAGGCCCAGGGTCCTGGGAGACCCAGGAGAACACGGCCCCTCACCCCAACAAGCAGCTCCTGTTACAGGGTGCGCACCAGATTCGAGAAAGAGCGGGACGAGGAGGAGGTGCGCAGAGGCTCAGTGACCAAGGCCCCCAGCTGGCCAACAGTACCAGGGGTACCAGGGCTCCAGAGCCCGGAGGGCCACCAGGCAGGGGGCTCAGGAGACCTGTCCTTTCAAGGGGCTCCCGTGTTTGCAGTGCCACAGGGGAGGGGACGGCCCCCAGGGTCTGAGGGAAGCTGCACCGGCAGCCCCAGAACTCCTGACAGTCCCCCCACCCTGAAGCAAGCCCCTCAAAGGGCAGAGACAAACACAGGCATGCTGGAGGGCTTTT